GAGCTCAACCGTCTGCTAACAGGCTTGAATTGACCGGTTAGGAAAGTAAGCAGGCATTGACGGGGTTCTGGTCGATGATTATAAAGCTTGGGCACCAATCCGTCAATGCCAGCTCTCCAACGATGCAAACCTCGAAGAACTGCATCGTACCAGATTCTGCGGCGGGCATTCTCTGAATCCCCTCCCTCAGAATCTCGCTGCCGATTTCGCTAATGGGTCACGCCCACGCATTTTTTGGTCATAACGGTAGGCAGGGCAAAGTCCTCATTATCTCCCAGCACCCTAACCTTCAAGCTAAGTATTCGGCACTGGATACATGAGAGATACCAAGCGAGAAGCCCAAGTGAATAACGCGTTCCTGATATAATCTTCTATGATGCATCCAGCCACGCTTCTCACGACGTCTGCCGTTAACGAAAATCTCGGAGACGAGATGAGCTGCGCAGTATCGAGTGGCGAAGCCGATATGACCAGCCCAATTATTGCCCTTATCAAGCACCGCACTACCTGAGGTCAGATCCTTTTTATCACCACAGCGAGGACGTTGCTTCATCTATGAGAAGGCATTATCACGTGGATGAAGACGGCAGAGATTCAACCCCGCTACCATCTCGTCTCATATCCGACTGTTTAGCTGAGAGCCATTCTCCCCGTGACATATCCACGTATACATATTAGGGAGGAGGCAGGGCAGATATGGCTCAAGGTTGCCGTAGGAGTAATGACCTCATTCGATACAATCCAGATACCATATACAGTCTATAATGACGGCGCGAGCAAATGAGGTCTGCGCAATGGCTAAGTCACACACTTGAGCGGTATTCCTTCTGGTAGCTGGAAATGATTCCGAGCTGATTTTATCTAGTTTCGTTTGCTAGAACAGTAGTGAACCCAAGCCAAGTTGGGCAAGATTGTAATTGATAGATTCGTCAACAAGATCTGAGCGGTGCCATCGATAGAAGCAAACTTCTGCGTGCAGTTCTCCGTCTCAAAGCTGAACCCCACGCATTCCGACGAGTATCCCATTCGAGTGAATTTACCATGTTACTATTGTGTATTCGCGATGCATGGTGAACAATCCACAAGGCAGTCAATGACTCTGACCTTGAGCGGAGTCACAGGCAAGCCGTCAAGAACCTGCTTGTAATCTTGTACATCAACGCACGAACACTACTGCAACGGCTACTCTCGGCAGGCAAAAAGCGTACGGTATAAGCTAAGCAAAAAAGCAAGCATCGACCATCTAAAATACGTGCCTCTGGGTGGAACGATGCAACGCACGAGAGGCTCGAAACGAAACGAGGTTGCATCTGATGATTGACACGTGCGGGAGCTCTGACGTCGAGTTCTTGACTTTTAAACTCTGGAGAATGGAGACCTGTTCGCCTCAACCACCCCCTGAGAGCGAAACCGTCGTAAAGAGAACGAAATCACACGTTGATGAAACCTCGAGGGGCCTGGCCCACGCAGTTTCGCGAAGGCGTGGCGGACGTTTGCAAGTTTCGAGAAGTCTGACTTCTTCCAACGTGCTGACAATACCTTGGTATGGCGGACGGGTCGGGGAAACCCATGGAAACGTGCCACCAGGAGCAGTCCTCTTTGGGTTTGTTCATGTTGCGGCATCGGTTGAACACCCGAGGTGACGAACGCGGGCAGTTGGCAAGGGTGTGCTGGGCGAGTCGATCTTCATCAAATCACCGAGATTCAACCGGGCCCCGAATGCAGCCTCTGCTGTGGTGCAATTGCCGAAACTTGCGTCCTGCGATCTGCTCAGTTATCGCAGCGGTTTTGGGGCATTTCCCACGCGGGAAAGAAATTTGTGAGTGGGGGCAAAGCAGGTCATCGTCGTCCGTGGTTGAGGCTATGGAGAAGATTGGGCGCGTGATCGAACATCAATCTATAGCGAGGGGCCTAGGGTTGTCTCAGTTCGGGAACCGTCCCTGTCTGAGTCTGGAGCTTCCACCCTTTCTTCCCCGCAATTTCCTGGCGCGGTAAGATCTTGGGAGATTCGATTCGATTGTGAAATCGAGAGCGGGAATTAACAGTGCCGCGTGGATGCTTACTCGCGATTTGCAATGAGAGCAACGTTAGAGAGGTTTACACTGCGCAGTTTGGTTAGATTCGTGCGGGCTAATATACTCTGGTGAAGTACGAGGCGTTGAAGGGGCGGCAGCAACAGGCGACTCCAAGTGTGCTGGAACCCGCAAGCAGTATGATGTAAGTATAAGGGGACCTGGACCGTTACAGCTCGTGAGGGAATGGAAGCGATTGGAACACCACAGGTTCGCCTCGGAGGTCGCGTCTGCTGCGTCAGCAGTTCCAAGGCGTAGGGGTTCGGACCACCGTGTCAGAGAAGTAGCTGCAGCGGCTGACGGCAGCAACATAGTTAGGCATGGCGCTGGCGCGGTGGCTGGATTGGTGCCAGGAGCGCGCGGGATAGTGATAATTTGGGCAAAGTCTATACTAGTTGAGAGATGGCAGGTGAAGTGCCTCCGGGGGTGGCTGGGTGGCTGGAAGATTCAGGGGAGAGGGGCGATTCTTCGGAGTCAGATCATATTGTCTGCAATTGGCGCGACTGTTTGGTCGAAGACAATGTTCAGGCCGGATTGCCGTGGCTTGTCATAAGACAATTCTTGCAGCCCGGCATTGAAGCTAGAGATAAGGTAAGAAGGGAAGCAATTGGCGAGGTTTAAGGTGCACCAAAGGACCCGCCCGGTGAGGGGAGGTTGGAGGCTGGCCTGGGTGCACAGGATTCCGACCATGCAAGTCCGACGTACTTGTAGAGTTCCTAGTGTCGCATCGGCGTTGAACTCGGTGTGGAAATCAAACCCTTGGTGGCACCGGGGCGTAGAAGGGTTGCAGAGAAAAGCTGACAAGGAAACGAGAAGACTCTAGGTGCAATGCCCCCTGAGTAAAGAGGTACTCGATTCAGAGAGGAAGCGGCTCGGGCAAGTTGCAAAGAATGGGCGGCTCCACAAACACGGCGAGAACGATGTTGGCGTGTCGTATCTGGGAGTGTATGGTGCGGTAGTGTCGGAATAGTAGGTGGTATTCGAAATTAGTTGCAAGCCTAGCTTCATCCCACGTCTGAAGCACACACCAGACGGAGATATTTCTGGCCTGTCGCGTCTGCGTTAGCACAGGGTATAGCTCAGGTACGGCGGTAAGGTAGGGTGAGGTGCGGTAACGCGAGGCGAGACGAGGCAAGGCCAAGCAAGAAACGGTGAAGACTATGAGGAGGCAACGTGAAGCGCAGGGGATGTTTGGAGGAGGAGAAGAAAGAGGAGGCTGGGCGTTGAGGAGTTTGCAGTTTGCAGATCTTGCTAGAGCCTAGAGGTGGTCTTTGTCGGTGCTTGTTGTGAATCGCGATCATGGATTTGGTGTTGGTTTGCTGGCGTCGAGTGGATCAAGGAGAGGTGGTTGTGGATGGATGCGACATCGCTGGGAGTCACTTGAGGTCTTTGGGTTCACATACATGGGGTGAGGTGAGGTGCAGTCGTAGCGGGGGTTCTTCAGGCTCACCTGCTTCCATTAACCTCGTATGTTTCCCCAAAGTTCTAGTAAATATGCACAGTACTCCGCAGAGGATGCAGCAAAGAACGTGGGTAGCACGAGCGGATCGTAATTCTTGCCTCTCATGAATAATGAGGGTAAGTACGTGATTGCCTGAAAAAGTACGTCAGGTACCTTATCTTGAGGTCGGCAGGCAGGTACGACTGAGTATCTTACTCTGGGTGTTCCTTCCGATGACAATTCATACAATGTCTGGCTGGTCCTTGCTGATTCAGAGTTCGCTGAGGAGGGAAGGTGCTGCTGCGCTTGTCCCATTCTGTGACACTGCGACGCTGTGACGGCAAAGCCTCACCTTCTCGACCCTTCCTTGAGACTAACGTAGTCGGGCCCTCGGAACTTTTGGGATATTTCGGGACATGTCATTAAAGCTCAAGTCACATGTTGCGGTTCGCTTTGAACCCAATGCCAATTGTCTGTTCGTTCAGAGACATGAGCTGTAAAAAAGTCCATGTCTTGACCGAGTACGGTGGTGGACGATGACTCTCTCGGGAGAGAACATCATCCAGAGACATGAATTGTTGAAGAACCCAGGGAATGAATGCCCGCCCACTCTCACTCACTCACCGACTGACCGACAAGCAAAAAAGGGACCAATACACCGGCCTACATCATTGGCATCGTTGGGCCGTTGGACTAGGTGTAAGCGCCTAGACCGATGCGGTTGTCGTCATAATTCAGAGACACACCGCTGATGAGCAAGCACACTCACACTGCACCGCGGACGTCTGATGGTGGAGCCCGCGCCCAAGCCTGCGCGCAGACGGAGTTCAAGGTTGCAGACTGGACCACCTCAGACCGTTCGTTCACTGCGTCCAGACCGCCGTCCACGGTCCGCAGATTCCACGCACCTCACACACACCCGACTCACAATGTACACTCAGCCCAGCTTGCTTGGAGCACATCGCAGCCCAGCCCAGCGCGACGTTGGACGCTGGCGTCGCCGAACCAGGGACGGTCCCGTCACCGTCAGTTCAGGTCAAGTCAAATTGGGCCGGGACCATCTGCGCCAGCAACCACCTTCAGACCAATACACCTCACACTTCAGAGGTAGTCACACACACACACACACACACCAGTGATTACACACCTCAGGTAGTGTACCACTCCTCTTACACTGAGGTGCGTAGACGACGGACGACTTTTGCGCCGCCCACCTTCCCACACCCCCGACCCCAGCAATTATTTCTCTGCCACTCGCGCGCAATAATTTTTGGGGGTTCCCGCCGCTCAATTCTCGTCTCTCATCTTTTTCTTCCTCTTTTTTTCCAACAAACCTCTCCTTCCTACCTTCTTCCTGTTGTTCGAATCTCGAATCCTCACCTGCCCTTTCTTTCACATCGTTCCTGCCGACGACGAGGCACTCGCTCCGAACCGAGTAATTCTAATTGCCCCTCTTTCGAAAAGAAGCAGCCCTCACATCCATCACAATGGGCACTTACAAGTTTACCTGGTATGCTCATCGACTCCGCCCGCATTTCCCCCTCCCCGCCAGCCCATCTCTCTCTAGACTCTGAGTCTCAATACCCTTACATGGAAATCACTACTGGAATGCGACGGAATCCCAATGCCCCTCCTTGCATTGCTTCTCTACCGTCCGGCGCTTGGAAACGGCGGTTGGCTTGCATGCTTTCGTCAAAGGACATGTGGAATGCAAACTTTCTTTCACATGGTCCTTAGGCCCCGTCCGCGGCGACCTCACCACCATTGGCACCGTTCGCATCGTCTCCAGCGAAAAAGCAAGCCTCCCAGTTGGATCAAAAACCTTTCTAACCTTTGCGTCCCACTATAGGGCTCACCCGGCCGAGGAGGTCTACGTTACCGGCACTTTCGACAACTGGACTAAGAGCGAGAAGTTGGAAAAGGTCGGCAGCTCTTTCGAGAAGACCGTCACACTCGCCGACGCATCGGAAAAGATCTACTATAAGGTTCGTACCGGCCAATTCAGGCGCTTTCTCTTGTACCCGTAACTATTGGTCCATCCCACCCGGATTTTTCGAACACGACGGCAACTCCGGAATTCCTTATCACGGCGCGCAATTGTTGGGAACCCTCTCGAAGCTGGAGGGGCAGCGACGACAGCAGTACCAGCAGCACCAGCAGCACAGGCGGCGGAGTCGATAGAGGGTTGGATGAGACCGCGAACAAGGGCTCCGATCGAAAGCAGCAACGCCGCATCGCTCAGCCCGCGACAGCATCCGTGCGCCCATCCAGGTCCCTTGTCCCATCAATCGCAATCGCTGTTTCCCCGTCTTGGAGGGGGAAGAAGGGAAGGGCTGGGCTGCCAGGCCATTTACTGGTGGAAGCTTCTTCCCAGCTCCAGGCCAGCTCTGGTTCCAGCTTCCCCGTCAGCTGCAGGCCACACAGCTCGGTTGCGGCTCGTCATAGGATCGGGCTTTTATCACCATCTCGCAATTTGGCGTGTCCAGGCCCCTGGCCCTCACGCAATTTGCTTCGCGCTCCGCTGAGCCACACAAATTCTGCTGGGGTCTTTTTCGGTCTTCTCTCGACTCTTCTCACTATTGCCCCTACGGCCACATTGTGTTGTCGGCTTATTTCGCGCTAACGCCGCTGCTTTTCCGTTGGGGTTTCTGCTCTGTCTGCTTTTCCCCGGCGTATTGCCTGCGCAGTCGGGGCTGCAAAACATATCCCAGACTGGAGCTGCACATGGCTGTAATGGGTAAATTGGAGAAAGAAAAAGAATAGTCATACACGGGTCTCGGAGGCTGGTTGTTGCTGGCCGACTATCCCGGCTCCGAATGACGCAAACCCACCAGTTCTTGCAGCAGCTTACTGCGGCAGAAGCACAGCAGCGGCGTGGTTGCCTTGAGTCTTGACGCTTGACGGTGGCTCCAGGTGGGCAATTGGCAAGATTGGCTGGCGGATCCCGAGCAGAGCGGCGGGTTGGGGGCTCCGCTTTTCCACAGGTCCAAAAAAGCAATGAACAAGGTTTTCCAGGTTCATTGCTCCTTTTGTATTCTGTGGGGAGCGAAAAGAGCGTCAATCTTGACCGGGGTCCCCCATGCGAGCATGGTCGCGTTCGCAGCTGCGTGTGGCCTTTTCGCAAATTGCGACGCAAGAAAGAAGAGAGACACCGGAGAGCGGCAGGATCCAGCACCAGCAGCCACCAAGGACCATGGCACCTTTCATCACACAACAATGTGCCAAAATGTCTAGCAACTTCGGGGCTAGCCTTCCAGACTAGGTGCCACCAAACACGGCGCACTCACCTGGATACACCCCAAGGCACCCAGGGTACACAAGGACAAGCACCACCAAGGTCACCACCACCCAGCCGTGCTAGCCCAGGCCAGGAACCAACAGCCATGCCCGCGGCCAAGGAACAAGCGGCAGCGCACAGCGCCAGGAACCACCGCCTTCCAATTTGCCTGGATTCTTGTTCTGGCGGATACGGGCTATCTTTCCTCACCTGGCCTTTATAACCATCTGGGACACCCAGATCGCGCTCCCAGCTGATCTCCCACATTTGGTTCGCCGCGCGTCATCATATCTGCCCCCCAAGGGACCCATTACACCACCGCTGTGCTGCCCACCGGATTTCGCTTAAAAACATCGTCATTGTTGACAATTTTTACTGACTTGCTTTCTCTCCCCCCTCTATAGTTTGTCGTCGACAACAACTGGATCACAGACCATACTGCCCCTCAAGAACCTGATCACGAGGGCAACGTAAACAACTTTCTCACCCCCGATCAAATCGTTAAGGAGGATACCACCGCCGCAGTCATGAACACTGTTACTCCCGAATCTACCACCGCCGCCTTGGCTAAGGACGTGCCTCTCGAGAACAAGGAGGAGCTCCCCCAGGCTACCCCCTCCGACATTCCCGGCGGCTTCCCCGTCACCCCCGCCAACGAGCTTGACAAGTTCATTGGTGTGAACCCTATCCCCGCCCAAGATGTTACCGCTGAGCCCGTAACCGTCGCACCTGGCGAACCCCTCCCCGCGTCTGTCAAGGCTGGCGATATCAACGAGCACGTCAAGCTTGACAAGGAGGGTTACGAGGACTCTAGCGCTCTGCCCGGCCTCTCCAAGGAGGAGACCACCGTCCCTGAGGTTACCAGCAACACGATCCCCGAGTCCAGCTTGCCCATTGCGACCGCGGATGCCACCATCAACAGCGCCGCACCCACATCCACCACCGCTGCTCTGGCCGCCGAGGTTCCTCTCGAGACCAAGACTGCCGAGGTTCCCGAAATTGTCAAGGAGAGCCAAGAGAAGGCCCACGCCGAGCCTGAGGCCAGCGCAAACCCCGAGGCCGTCCAGGAGAAAGCCGTTGTTGAGGACGAGCTCCTCGAGAAGGTCCCCACCGCTCCCTCGACTTCTGAGGGCACCGCCGGATTCGGCACTCAGAAGACTGAGGCCGCTGGCGTCGTCGTTGCCACCGCTGCCACTATTGGTGGTCTCGCCGCTGCCGCCGCCATCAATGCCAAGGACACTGTCGTCGAGGCTGCTGCTCCTCACGTTGAGCAGGCTACCGTTGCCGCCACTGACGCCGCTGCTCAGCTCCCCGAGCCCGTCAAGGAGAGCCTGCCTGTGAGCGTTCAGGAGGCCATCGGCGGTCAGACCAAGGAGGAGACCCGTGAGGAGGTCGCTCCCGAGGTTCCCACCGTCGTCAAGGAGTCTATCGCCGAGGCCGGCAAGAGCCCCGAGGCTGCCGCCAATACCGAGGCTGTCATCGAGAAGAAGGAGGTCGAGGCTGAGCTCCTCAAGGAGGTCAAGCCTATTCCCGCCGTTGGTGAGGAGACCAAGGTCGAGGCCGAGAAGCCCAAGGTTGAGGCTGCCAAGGAGGAAGTCAAGGAGACCAAGGAAGAAGTCAAGGAGGGCGAGAAGACCAAGACTGAGGCCGTCAAGGAGGAGGCTAAGCTCGCTAAGGAGGAGGTTAAGGCTGCTGTCACCAAGGATGACTCTACAAAGGAGGCTAACGGTGCCAACGGTGTTCACACAACCGCCAACGGTGCCAACGGCGCCAGCCTCACCTCTACCAAGGAGCCCGAAGTTCCCACCACCCCTGCCAAGGCCCCGTCCTCCGTTCCCGAGTCAACGACACCAAGCAATACAAAGGCCACCGAGAGCCCTTCGGGCACCGAGAAGAAGAAGAAGAACCGCCTGAGTGCCTTCATCGGCAAGCTCAAGGCCAAGGTGCACAGCAAATAAGCGGCATAATGATGATGACGTTCGCCGTTAGGATGTATGTGGATGGGAGGCATCGTCTTTCGCCTCGGCTCTTGTGGATTTTCTTGTCGGGTGCTGCGTATTTGGGTTGTTTGTCGTTTCTATGATTCCCCTGGTCCACTTTGCATGTGCAAGAGCTCGAGAGGTAGAATGAGGCATGGCAGCTGTATGTCGACGAGGTTGGAAGTACGGCCATTTCTGTTGGCCTCTAGAATTAATTGAGGGTGATGTGGGCTGCCGCCTCTTTCAGTTTTGCTCCTTTTGTTGGTACTTCACACGGCTCATCTGCATCGGACTATCCTGTACCATAATACCTCGTTCGAGCCTAATTTGCATATGATCAATTGAGCCAATACAATGAGGTACTGAACACTGGTGACTGACTACTGGTGAGGCATGTGACTTGGGTAGGCTATCTCCTGCTGCTGACTGACGTTATGGATGAAGCCGTTTCCACAGAAGAGAGATTAATAAGTGCCTACTATAGTAAAGTCCAATGGAGTAACTTGTGACTTGACACGCCGTTTTGATTCGTCGCGTCAAGCCAACGCGTCAGGTGCCAGGCACAGCTGTACTACACGTTAAACGAAACAACTCAATCGATATACGCAAGCAGGGTTAGTAAATTAGTCACTTAGTCATTAGTTATAGTTATAGTCTAACTAATATAGTCTAACTATAGTTACTAAAAAATCCTAACTAGACTAGACTAGGCTAGTATTAGTCGCTTATATAAGTAACTATAGTCAGATTTACTTAACTAATTAGTTAACTAAATTAGTTAGAAATATTCTTAGTAAATTAAAAAAAAAATAATAAATTATAATAAAAATAGTATTATATTATATAAAAAGTTTTAAAAAATACTATATATTAATATATATATATATATATATATATATATATTAAAGCATAGTATTTATTAAAGTTTAATTAAAATAATATTAATTAAATAATAATTTTTATTTAAATATTTATTTATAATAACTAATAGTTATATTATAAAACTAATTATTAAAAATTTAGAATTATTTTAATAAAGCTTATATAAAAAATAATATATATATATATATATATATATATATATTAAAAAAGTTATTATTATTATTATTAAAAAGTAAAAATAAATAAATTAAAAAAATAAAATATATATATATAATTAAGTTAAATTTTTAAAAAAATTTATAAATTATTAATTAGTATTTATTTTAAAACTTTTTTTATTATTATATTTAATAATAATTAGTTATATTATTAATATATTTTTTAAATATTTTAATAATTTTAATTATATTTTAAAAAAATTTATAATATTTTAAAAGTTTTTATAATATTTTAAAAATTTTTATAATATTTTAAAAAAATTTATAAAATTTTAAAAGTTTTTATAATATTTTAAAAATTTTTATAAAATTTTAAAAAAATTTATAATATTTTAAAAATTTTTATAATATTCTAAAAAATTTTATAATATTTTAAAATTTTTTATAATATTTAAAAAGTTTTTATAATATTTAAAAACTTTTATAAAATTTTAAAAGTTTTTATAATATTTTAAAAACTTTTATAAAATTTTAGAACTTTTTATATATTTTATTTATAATAATAAAACTTATATAATAATATAAATATATATTATATATTTATAATTAATAATAATACTAATTATTATAAATAAAAATAATAAAAATATTTAAAATTTAATAAAATTTTTAATATATATAACTTTAATAAAATAATATAAAATATTTTTATAAAAGAATATAAAAAATAAATATTTATATAAAAATAAAAATATATAAATATAAAAAAAATAAATATATATAGTAGTTTTTTTTTTAGTTTTATAAGTATAAAAAATCGATTTTAATAAGATTATGCTTTTAAAAAAAATTATATAATATAATATACTTTTTAATTATATAATATATATAATATATCCTAAGTACGCGCTTAATATAATATAATAATTTTAATATAAAAACTACTATTTAACTTAGAATAAGTAAGCTACTCTTTTTAGTAGCGGCGCTAGTTAAAAAAGTTAATAATAAAAGTTAGCTATAATAATTAGCTATAATAGTTAGCTATAATAATTAGCTATAATAATTAGCCGTAATAGTTAGCCGTAATAGTTAGAGACGGCCCTTAATTATAGAGGTTCTAAATTTTAATAGCGACGTAGAAGTTTTTAAAAAAAGGGTTAAATGGGCTAATATTTACTACTCTTTTACCGTACTAAAGCTCGTAAAGATTCTTTTTATCCTTATTGTTTTTAATATTACCTAAAGCTACTCTTTATTTAAACTAAACAAATTTACTAAATAAATTTACTAAATAAATCTACTAAATAAATTTACTAAATAAACTTATTAATATATAAACTACTACTTCGATAAGAACCTACTCTCTTAGTATATAGTTAGTAATTAGTAAGCTAAAGATACTTATTAATAAGTTTACTCTTTTTAAACTAGGCGCCCTTTTTAGCTAGTTCGATACTATAGCTATCGTAACTAACGTAAGTATACTTAAGAAGTAGTAAAATATTTTTTAGTAATATAGAATTTAGCTAGGTAATATTATAAGTACTATAAATAGCTAGGCCGGTACGGATATTAAAATTTAGTATATTAATACTAGCTTAGTTATAATAGTTATAATAAATAGGCTAGAGGTATATAGGGTTAAGGTAATAAGCCGGCGCTTTAAATAGCTCTTATAAAACCCTTTAGGTAATAATAATATTTATATAAAAGAATAGATTATACTAAACTTAGTTACCTATGCGGGCTAGTATTAAGAGGTCCTATGCGCGTTAAAATAGGTAAAGCTTGCTCTATAAGTAGCTAGAACTTAAGAGGACTTTACGTAGCGGAAAGTTAAGAGCTATTTTAATTAATAATTAAGTATAGAGCGTAATATACTTAGTTTTCCCTAATACGTAATATACGGTACGGCCCCGGCGGATTACTCCGTCGGGGGGAAATAAATATATATAAAAGAGGTTTTTATAATAAAAAGAGTAATATAGTTAAATTACTATATAAGAAGTTACTTACTTAATAAAAGGTCTAAGTAAGTAAATATATGCTTATATATAAGTATAAAAACCTCTTATTAGAATATTTTATTACTTATTAATTATAATATAATTAATAAGCACATACGTAAGTAAATGCGTAATCGTAGTACGTAATTCCGTCTCGAGAGAATTCTAGCTTATTCAGTTACTTTCTAGCACTTTCTATTACTCACGTAAGCTTATATAAGTAGTATTACTTATATAATTAATACTTATAATAATTTACAGAAATCGTAGATTAATATAGTATATAGTTTGCTTACGTAATATTAATAATAAGGCGAATAATAAGGTAAATAAAGTTACTTTCGTAATAGAATCTAATAGAATTTAGTAGAATTGAGTAGAATAATATTAATAATAATTAATAATAAAATAATTCTAGATTATTCTAGAGAGTAGTTTATTATTAATAGTATTATTAATTATATTTAATAATTAGTAATATAATAGAAACCTTTAGAATCTTATAAAAAAATAAAAAGAATATAAAAAGAGCTTAACTCTACCCCCTAAGGTCTAGTTTTACTTTTCTTAACTAAGTAATTATACTACTAAATATTATAATTAATACTAAAAACCTCTTTTAATCTCTTTTTATTATTATTATATTATTATATTCTTTTATAAAAATATTATTATAATGGATTCTTTTATTTTAAACTCTTTTTAAGCTAGTAGCCCTATCTCTACTATTAGTAATATTCCTACTAGTAGTACTACTAGTACTAGCTTTATAGACTCTTTATATAATAAAGAGGACTATAAATTAGAGCCTAATAGCAAATCTAGTGCTTATATTTTTAAAAATAACTTATTTACTCGAACTTTTTTACCTATTAATTATATAAAAAAGAGAGAAATACAAATTAAATATACTACGTAAGTAAATATACTTTTTTATTATATATTTAAATATACTAATTAGTATTATAGGTGTAGTAAAAACTAGATTATTAAAGTTAAAGGTTTCCAAACCTCTAACTTTATAAAATATTATAAGTAATCTCACCCTAATATTGCTTATAATAAAAAATCTAAAAAAAATCGAGTAAAAAGTAAGCAATATTACTATTATTATATATTTATATATACTAATTAACGTATTATAAAAACCGATATAGTACTTATAAAAAAGTCTTTTTTTAGTAATAAAAGACCTCGTACTAGTACTATTACCGATTTTAATAAAGAAGAGGCTTATTTAAAGATATTAGATTTTATAATAAAAAATAACTTACTATTTTCTACTATAGATTCTAATTCTTTTAAAAACCTTTTAAACTATTATAATAGGTATATTTTTTATTATTATATTATAATACTTTATTATTTACTAATATGATATTATAGGTTAAATCTTATTATTAATAGAAAAAAGATTAAGAATTTACTAGATATTACGTATAATAAATTTCTTTCTTTAATTAACTTAGAGATAAGTGAAAATATTAAAAACTTAGGAAAATTTTCCTTTGTTTTTAATATATAGACCTCTAAGTTATAAGATGCCTATTTAGGTATTATTATAAGCTATATTAATAGCGATTTTAAGCTTATTTATAAGCTAATTAGTAAGTTATTATATATAACCCTATTTTAATATATATACTAACTAATATTTATAGTATTTAAAGACCTTACTAAATCATATACGGGCCTTTATATATATAAAGAAGTTATAGATAGTTTAGCTACTTATCCAAACTTAACTATTAATAACTTCTTTAAGTAAGTAATTATACTTAATTATATTATATTATTATACTAACTTATATAGTTTTACTAAAGATAATGCATTTAATAATAATACGTTTTTAAATTCTTTTAAAGCTAATTATAAATTAACTTTAAATAAAGAGTTTAAAAACGATATTAAATATATTGCTCATATTAT